TATGTAGAATATATATACAGAAATATGAAACTATAATATTTGTTACCAAAACCAAGCACATTATGCATTTTATTATCCGTAAACCTAAAGTTACAACCTATTATTCTAATTTTACTACCTATATTCAACAAACACAAGAATGTTACAAAAACCAAACAAACTCAAGCATAAACTTGATTCTTTTGTTAAAAAAAGTTTATATTTACAATACTAGTTAAATGGTCAGTAATAATTTATTTAGTTTAACTTAGTTAAGTTTTTAATTAACACATTTCTTTGGTTAGTTAATTGTCTACAACATTTATATCAAATAATTTTATATAGCCTAATAAACATTGAATATATTGTGACTTTTAGTAAACTACATCAGTTTTAAGATTTTTTTAAGATTCTTTTTTATAGTGAATATTAACGCTCACTGAAAGTTATAAATGATATTTACTGTTAGTAAAACATTAAGTTTTTAAAAAGTACTTTAAAATGTATAAATAAGTTATCCAGGCAATTTATTTGCATCAACCAATCAGATGAATATCCTCCTATGAGAATTTTGGTTGGTCACTTTGTAACTTTTTTTTGTAGCCCAAGCAAAAAAACAAAACTAGAACTTGAACAAAGCAGACATCATGAAAATTCTGAAACTATAAACTAATGCAAAAAGCTATCCAAAAGAAATTTAGGTTTCTACTACATATAGAATTCTATTAGTAGATGCCCAGATGTACTTTAACCAAAATTTCTGTACTTAGTAATTATTCCTAGTTGGATATAACTTATTGAGATATACACAATCAGTAGATTTATAAATATAGTACAGGTCATATATAAAGTAAATTTTCATAATATCTTTTTTTATAAATTAACAATAGCAACAGTGATAGTAAAATATTTAATAAAATTCAAGTCACAATAACTTTTGAACTAGCAAACTAACACAAATAAAATTATACTTGTCAGATTTGGTTAACATCTTTTTAAAGTAATAACGCTCTTTTTTTTGCTATTTTATCAAATATCCGATATATTTTTTATCATTATACTATAAGAAAGTTGCTGTGTTACACAACATGCAACTGTGCATACAGAAATTTCATTGTTATGTTTCTGATTTTTTATTTAAAAATACATTAAAAATGAGAAGTTTGTATAAAAATTAGAAGTCTTTTGCCACACTCTAGACAATAAAAATAAAAAAAAAACAGTATTATTGCTTCAAAGAGTATGTTATAACGAACTTGATGAATGTAATTTTATTTATGCAGAATTTCTAGTTAAAGAGTTATTGTAGTTTGAATTTTATATGTTTTTAGGTTAATCTATAAAAAAAGTTTATGAGAGCTTACTATAACTTATAAATTATAAATGATAAAAAAAATAATATCGCAAATATAAAGTTGAATATTTCTTTTTTAATAATTTTTAGTTTGCACAGTTAAGGTGTATAATTATTTTTTGTTTATACAATATATAAATACTAAATAGTTTAACTATTTATAGAAAAAATGTTAATTTTAATAATCTAGAAGTTTTTGCATGGCTAATGACTTTACTATTCTGAGTCTAGTTGGTATTTCCAGATTTATAGTGTATTCATCACATTTTCGAATAGCATTTTGTAGATCCTTGTTGTTGTTTTGTGCAATGAGAATGGTTTTAATAACCTGGTATACAAAAACACCAAGTTTTTTAAAAGTTTTAGAATCTTTTTTCAACTTTGCTAGGTCAGTTGCCTTCAGATGCATTTGCAATAACTGTTTCCATACTTTGTCAGAAACAAATCCATCTAACACGTCATATGGTTCTGTTGCACTATTTTTAATGGGTTGGATCATTTGTTAATATTAAACAGTAAATATTATTTGTTTAGCATTATCCATTACAAACCTTTCATTTGTTGATCTAAATTTATTCGCTAACCTTACTGCAGCTACATGAAACTTATAATGATATGTATTGTATTATCCGCCAACATCCTTGATTAAAGATCCTAACCTGTGATCAGATTTTGCAATCTTGCAAACTCGCACAATCAATTCTTCATATAAAAGATTACTATTATTCCTAGTTCTAAGGAAGAGTGCTTTACACTCTTCCTGTAATTGGAATTTAATGTACTATAAATGTAATTTAAAATATTAGTATAATTATTAATGTGAATCTATTTGTCGCCGGTGATGACAGATCCAAGCAATCAGATTGTACGATTCAAAAACCTTAAAATTATTTTTATGAAACTAACTTCTATATTTTAACAAAAAATATTAATTACATAATGTTCCTATATGTTACAATCCTTTTTAACCCTAAATATAACTTAAAATATACTTCAGATACTGTCACTATCAGATTATTTCTAAGCACTATACATATAATTTTTAATCTTACTATACTATACAGAAATGCTGGATTGAAAGGCATCAGAGCTAGGCTGACATTTAGCAATTTAGGTTAGTACAGTTTATGACAAAATTATCAGTTTAGCATTTTTGCTTAATGAGCAGCTATGATTTTATTATTAAAATTTTCAGTGCTCTTGGATAAAATCACTCAATTCCTATTTAGCCAATTAGCCTTCTGACCCAGAATCTCCTATATGAGTTTATCTTACTTGGTCAATTTCCAGAAGTTTTGATACAGGTTTATATGATAGAGTAGATGTTGAAGTTGCATTAGACACTTCATCTATTCTTGTCATCATTCTGTTTCTAATGTTAGTTGCCAAATCTAATATTCTTTTATGGTGCACTAGCCACAAAGCAATATTAAATTCATTATCTAGCTGTTTGAATTGTATTGGTCAGTTTGATAATGAATTATCTGCCATTACTTATTATATTAAACCAATTTATTTGTATATGTATAATCTGTTATTATTTATTTATCTCAATTGAAAAATAAAAAAAAAACATTATATTAATATGTCTAAGAATGGCTTCAAAATTCAAAAAAGAAAATTAATAATTAATCAAGTAATATTGTTTGAATTTCAGAGCCATCCTAAATCATGCCTATAAATTTAAAGTGATAACATTATTATCTCTGTAATTTAACAAAAAACTATTATTTTTGTAACTAGTGAAGAAATATCATTTTCGTGAACTAGTGAAGAGATATTATTTTCATAAACTAATGAAGAAATATTATTTTCGTGAACTGGTAAAGAGATGTTATTTTCATGAACTGGTAAAGAGATGTTATTTTCATGAACTAGTGAAGAGATACCATTTCCATGAGCTGATGAAAAAATATTGTTTTCATGAACTGGTGAAGAAATATCATCTTCATAAATGTTATTGTCACTTTTATTATCTGACAAAGAAACTTAAGATGCAACGTCATTATTTTCATGACCTATTAAAGAGGTAGTATCATCTTCATATTTTTGAATAGAATTATATTTTCATATTTTATTTGGAACTGAAGAACTTGTAGCTTGTTGGTTTGGTTTACGTTTTTGTGTTCTCTTGAGAGCTAAATTTGTAACTTTATTATCTGGAATGTTAATAAGAAGATATAGTAATAAGTTAAATAACAATGAAAATAAATAATACTCTTATATAACATACCTGTTAACTTTTCAGCTGTGGTTTCTTTAGGTGCTTTTAATTCTATTATAAAAAATATATTTAAAAAACTATCAATAAACATATAACAACATTGTTCTTATAGTGTTACTAAAAAAAGTTGTCAAGAAGCTTTAAAAAACTTTAATATACTAATTACTTGTTTAGGCATATTGACTTGAAGTTGGATAATGATCTTTCGATACACTTTACTATTTCTTTATTTATTGACAATACAATCTGACCATCTTTTATGTACATTGTTATGCAATTACTATTACATAATAGATCCTTAATGCATCTGTCAAAATATATTATTATACTATTTTTGTATATATGTTATTTACATGATTATCAGAATTAATCAACAATCAGTCATATAGTTTATGCTTGTATATTAATTTTTCCAATAGTAATTTTCTTGACAAGCTATTTAATTGACATTATACTATGTAAAAAGTCAATAACAAAATATAAATGCAACTAATAAATGCTAAATTATAATCATGAATGATGTAGATTAAGTGGCTTGTCAAGAAAATGGATCATTGAAAAGTTGAGTGACATAATTCAAACAAATTATATAATAAACATTGTTTAGAAGTATGTAGTTATTTAAAAGTATATTATATACTGAGTATTAGAGCTATTAATAAAGTACACTACACTATATTAAATTATTTAAAAACATAATTGATTAATGATGTATATAATGCAAAAAATAATAAATAAATAAAGTAGTTAAGATCGATCAAATAATCTAGTTTTTTCCTGTTATTACCTATCATTATTACTTATTAATACTCGATCAATAGGCAAAAGATATAAATAACATTACTAAATAATGAAACATTTGAATAGAACTACCTGTACATATACATCAATGCCAAAATTACGTATTAAATCAAAAAAAATAAAATATGGAGAAATAAAAAAACTTTAGTATCAGATAAATCTTTGGAGCATAGTAATTCAAAATATACTTATTGGTTCTCTAAAGAACATTTAAATGAAGAAACTGAGAGCATATTAGCTACCAGTCATACCTTGTTAAATGAGGTTAGTACATGTTCTAAATACATTATGAAAAAATAAATTAAGTTGCTTGTAAAAATAACTAAAAATAGTTATAATTATTACATCAAGATATTAAGAGAATAAATTAAAGTAATATATAATTTTATAGTCTAATTAGT